AAATTGAAAGATATAATACAATGTACACTAACGGAGATATGAATATGGTTTGACATTCCCCGTATTTAAAGCATACTATATGAATGCTATAAGAATAGGATACATTTTGGAAAAAAATAGTGGGATGGCTTGAGAAATTAAATGGACAACGAGCATGTATGCCACCACCTCTCCACCTCATCAAGTCAGAGAATGTCTTGTGTTCATAAAAAATACAAAGCATTTTGTTAATGTTAGTGGTGGTGAGAGAGCAACTGGATGACCCTTTGTAGTCATGATGCATAGCAGTGACTACTACAGTAATTTGCAACTTCCACAGCAATTGCTTAGGTATGAGATATGCACACTTTACATTAGTTCAAGCTAGACTTTTAAAACTACCATATTCAATAAATATCTTTTCTAGAGTTCAGCTTTAATTAGGGCTAAAATAGTATAGGGCAGGGTCCCTACAAATAAAATTTTCTGTACCCCATGTACACTTGGCAATAAAAAAAAAGAGACACAATGATTACTCACAAACTAGTTGCAGTCTCTCCTATCTGCAGATGGTATTGACTGTTGATGCACTTCTAGACCATGTGTTTAGAAAACATCAGTTATCTAGTTAAGATACACTATATTGCCAAACATATTGGGACGCCTGCCTTTACACGCACATGAGCTTTAATGGCATCCCACTCTTAGTCCTTAGGGTTTAATATTGAGTTGGACCACTCTTTGCAGCTTCAGATTTTCTGGGAAGGCTGTCCACAAGGTTCAGGAGCGTGTCTATAGGAGTTTTTATGGCCATTCTTCCAGAAGCGCATTTGTGAGGTCAGGCACTGATGTCAGACAAGAAGGCCTGGCTTGCAGTCTTCACTCTAATTCATCCCAAAGGTATTCTATCAGGTAGAGGTCAGGACTCTGTGCAGGCCAGTCAAGTTCTTACACCCCAAACTTGCTCATCTATGTCTTTGTGGAACTTGCTTTGTGCACTGGCGCCCAGTCATGTTGGAACAGGAGGGGGTCTTCCCCAAACTGTTTCCTAAAAGTTGGGAGCATAAAATTGTCCAAAATGTCTTGGTATGCTGACGCTTTAAGAGTTCTCTTTACTGGAACTAAGAGGCCAAGCCCAACCCCTGGAAAACCACCCCCACACCATAATCCCCCTTCCACCACTGAATCTGACACTTTGCATTGAACTTGGTTATGAAAGGCTTGGATGCAGCTGCTTGGCCATGGAAACCCATTCCATGAAGCGCTCTGCGCACTATTGTTGTGCTAATCTGAAGGCCACATGAAGTTTGGAGGTCTTTAGCTATTGACTCTGCAGACAATTGGTGACTTCTGCACACTGTGCGCTTCAGCATGCGCTGATCCCGCTCTGTTATTTTACGTGGCCTACCACTTTGTGGCTGAGTTGCTGTTATTCCCAGTTGCTTCCACTTTGTTATAATACCACTAACGGTTGACCGTTCCATATTTAGTAGCAAGGAAATTTCACAAATGGACTTATTGCACAGGTGGGAACCTATCACGGTACCACACTTGAATTCACTGAGCTCCTGAGAGTGACCCATTTTTTCACAAATGTTTGTAAAAGCAGTCTGCATGCCTAGGTGTTTGACTGTATACACCTGTGGCCATGAAGGTGATTGGAACACCTGAATCCAATGATTTGGAGGGCTGTCCTAATAATTTTGGCAAGATAGTGTATGTCTAGGAGACAAAATTGCTACTTCCTAGAGAAATAATAACAACATTACAGAATGAGATTTACTGAAAACAAACAGGCATTTCATATTGCAAGGGAATTTCTACTTATGCTAGTGGTTCAAAAAATACCTAATCAAGTAAAAAAAAAAAACCCAATAAGTTGAGAGAAAAAAACCCTCATAAAATGAACAGCCTTTTTGCCTTTAGTAAATCAACCCCTCAGTTTTTAGGATAAAGTAATAGCTGTGCAGGAAAATGATTACAAATATGAAGACATGAAAACAGGCACTGTTTTTTTCTGTTTTTGTTTTATTTTACTTGAGTGTCTCTGACATTTACCAGTGAAGCAAAACATTAGTCTAGAGCAAAAATTGAGACCAGGAGAAGAATAGAATGGATGACTAAGAGGAGAGATAGGTCAAAGAGGGGTCTTAATAGATTGGTGATTGAAGGGCAGATGGGCAGGGAAGATCCACAAGGGTTGATCCTGTGGGGCGTGCATGGTCTTCATTCCAAAAATTGCAGGTGAGAAGAAAAGCTTTTTCCCACCCACCTGTTCTCAGGTTAGAAAAAGTGTCAAGACAACTTGATGGTTTAGGGCAGTGGTGGGCAACCTTTTTTTTCAACTGAGCCAAATCTCGCCAAAACCACGATTGAAATTTATTTTGAGAGCCACATTTTTAAAACTGAAAATACATCCCCCATATAGTAATTCATCCCCCATAGTAATTCATCCCCCATATAGTAATTCATCCCCCATAGTAATTCATCCCCCATATAGTAATTCATCCCCCATATAGTAATTCATCCCCCATATAGTAATTCATCCCCCATAGTAATTAATCCCCCGTATAGTAATTCATCCCCAATAGTAATTCATCCCCCATATAGTAATTCATCCCCCATAGTAATTCATCCCCATATAGTAATTCATCCCCCATAGTAATTCATCCCCCATATAGTAATTCATCCCCCATAGTAATTCATCCCCCATATAGTAATTCATCCCCCATAGTAATTAATCCCCCATATAGTAATTCATCCCCCATAGTAATTCATCCCCCATATAGTAATTAATCCCCCATAGTAATTATTCCCCCATATAGTAATTCATCCCCCATAGTAATTCATCCCCATATAGTAATTCATCCCCCATAGTAATTCATCCCCCATATAGTAATTCATCCCCCATAGTAATTCATCCCCCATATAATAATTCATCCCCCATATAGTAATTCATCCCCCATAGTAATTAATCCCCCATATAGTAATTCATCCCCCATAGTAATTAATCCCCCATATAGTAATTCATCCCCCATAGTAATTCATCCCCCATATAGTAATTCATCCCCCATAGTAATTCATCCCCCATAGTAATTCATCCCCCCATAGTAATTCATCCCCATATAGTATTTCATCCCCCATAGTATTTCATCCCCCATAGTAATTCATCCCCATATAGTAATTCATCCCCCATATAGTAATTAATCCCCCATATAGTAATTAATCCCCCATATAGTAATTCATCCCCCATAGTAATTCATCCCCCGTATAGTAATTCATCCCCCATAGTAATTCATCCCCCATAGTAATTCATCCCCCCTATAGTAATTCATCCCCCCTATAGTAATTCATTCCCCATATTGTGTCAATTCACTTACCTTTGCTCCGCGCGTTCCTCTCGCCGTGTTCCCGCGCCGTTCCGGTCTTCAGGGCGGACTGTGAGAGGAGAGGAGTTCATCACGCTGCCCCGCCTACATCCTGACAGCCAATGTTTGCCACGCTCCGCGGGATTGAATGGGCCGCCGGGCCGTATACGGCCCGTGGGCCGTAGTTTGCCCATTGCTGGGCTAGCTGCAGAGTCCTGACTTTTGAGGCGTCCGCCCGAGAGGAGGGAGGGGAGCGGGCGCCCGGCACACAGAAGAGCAGCATTAAAATGTGTAAAGAGCCGCATGTGGCTCGCGAGCCGCGGCTTGCCGACCACTGGTTTAGGGGGTCTTTGTTGGTGGTGGGAGGCTCAAGGGAATAGTAGAATTGTAACAAGCTTGGGGGCACATCTGATGGTATGGTGCTTCTACTTGGTTGGCTATTGAAGATTCTCCTAAGTCCTCTGGGGGAAAATAATGGCTCATGGGTTCAGTAACATCTTCAAGTTGGTGAGATGCAGCAAGGGAGGACAAGGGAGATCCTTTTTTAAAATGTTGGTGTAAGAACAGCCAAAGACCTTCTCCTGGTAACATTGTCAAAATTGTATGTATTGTTTATTTATGTTGTTTATTTGGTTGATAAAGTGTTCTAATGCATTCTCTACATTAAGGTAAAAAAATACTTCTGCATGCAGCTCATCTCCCCTCCAGCCCCCTATTTTACTTAGCTGAGCTCAATCTCAATCCAGTGCTGTATGTGAGAACTCTCTCTTCTCTCCCCTTCTTCATCAACTCAGAGACAGTAGGAGGGAGGGGGGTGGGGAAGACCAACTCTCTGTGTGTCTAAGAACACACAGAGCAGGATCAAGAGCAAGCTCGAATGAGTGCCCCCTTAGCAAGCGATTTGATATTGTGGGCACTCGGGGTGGAGGAAGCAGGAGCACCATCTGGGACCTGAGAAGAGAAGGATCGGGACTGCTCTATGCAGGTTAGTATAACATGTTTTTTATTTTAACCACTAGCCTACAGGGCACTTATACCTCCTTCCTGCCCAGGCCAATTGCCAGCTTTCAGCGCTGTCACACTTTGAATGACAATTGCACGGTCATGCAACACTGTACCCATATGAAATTTTTATAAATTTTTTGTGACGGATAGAGCTTTATTTTGGTGGTATTTAATCACCTCTGGGTTTTTTATTTTTTCTTAAACAAACCAAAAACCACAGAAAATTTTGAAAAAAAAAGTTTTTTTCTTAGTTTTTCTTATAAAATTTTGTAAATAAGTGATTTTGCTCCTTCACTGATGTGTGCTAATGAGGCTGCAGTGATGGGCACTGATAGGCTGCACTGATGGGCACTGATAGGTGGTACTGATGGGCACTGATGAGGAGGCACTGGTAGGTGGCACTGATGGGCATTGACAGGCATCACTGATGGGAACTGAAATGCAGCACTCATATATGACACTGATAGGTGCACTGATAGGTGGCACTGACTGGCACTGATAGGCGGCACTGACTGGCACTGTTAGGTGGCACTAACTGGAACTGTTAGGTGGCACTGACTGGAACTGTTAGGTGGCACTGATAGGCATCACTGATGGGCACTGATAGGCGGCACTGATGCACACTGATAGGCGGCACTAACTGGCACTGATAGGCGGCACTGACTGGCACTGATAGGTGGCACTGATTGGCAGCACTGATAGGTGGCTGACTGGCAATGATAGGTGGCACTGACTGGCACTGATAGGTGCACTGAAAGGCAGCTCAGATGGGCACTGATATGTGGCATTGATGTGGCACTGATGGGCACTGAAATGTGGCACTGATGTGGCACTGATGGGCACTGGCAGGTGGCATGGATAAGCACTGAGAGCTGGTACTGATGGACACTGACAGGTGGCACTGCTGGGGCTACACAGATCATCAGGGCACACTGATCATCATTGCCCTGATGATCTGTGTCCAGGTCCCCTCCGAGGAATGCCGATTACCGGCTCTCCTCTCCTCACGAGCTGTCAGCGTGACAGCTCGTGGGGAGAGAAATGCCGATAACCGGCATTTCCCTCTTTACATGTGATCAGCTGTGATTGGACACAGCTGATCACATGACCGAGCCGACATCTTCGGCTCTTTCCGTGGATCAGTGATCCGCTGTGTCCGAGGGACACAGCGCACCGCCGATCGCCACGCTGCGTGCTCCGGGAGTCGCACATGTGCGGTGAGAATGGGAGGATGTCATATGACGTCCTCCCAGAACAAGAGAACCACCTTGCGTCCGTCATATTACTATATGGCGGGCGGGAGGCAGATAAAGAAAACAGTACTTTACATTTCGTAAATAAAGCAATGGCAGTGGCTATTTAAATTCCATGTTATGCAGTTTGTGTACTTTTTTTTAGAGGTAAAAAAAGGTCCTAGATTGATTAATCTTTTAGATATGTAACTTCATTGTTTGTTGACAATCTTCTGAGAAGGGTTAACATATATTCCTTGCTGATTCAGGGCCCACAATGCAAAGATCGTCTTTTGAGAGCAAAAACATAGTGGAATACTTTAGCAGATACTACAACCGGTGTTAAGTAGGATTAATTAAAGTATGTACATTAAACAGAATAATAGAATAAATTGTCACATTGAAAAGTGTAATTTGTACTGCTAATTATAAGTACGTAACACTTACTTTTAGAATTTATAATGTATATATCCAAAAGATTTTACAAAAAAAGAGAAGGGTTCAATGTGTATAGGCACAGGCCTTATTTGGATGGTAGTTGGGATATGTTGCTCTAATATTCCTTCTGGGCTGGGGTAGTAAAGTCAGCCTCACTCTCAGTTACATTGTGAGCTAGTACAGGAGAGGATTGTATTTAGTCTCTTAGATTGTAAGCTCCAAGGAGCAGGGCCCTCCTAACCCTCTTGTATTTAACTGTATTATTGCTGAAATGTCTCCCTTTATTTTGTAAAGTACTGAGAAAACTGATGGCGCTATATAAATCCTGTATAATAATAGATGTTCTGTTCTGTTCTCCTTATTCAGCTTTTCATATTTAGCCAATGGAAATGAGGAAAGAAAGACCTGTCAAAGTGAAATGACAGAACTATCCATGGCAAGGCATTCATCTGCTTTTCTCTCCACAAGGACAGTGCCATCTTGTTCAGGCATTTTCCAGAGCCGGCGTTTATTTCCTGAACTGAGAGGCTAGCTTAGGTCTCATTCACACTTGCATACCAATCTGTATATCAGTGAAAAGGGACTGTCTTCACTTGCAGGGTATGCACAGGTGTTCTGTACAAACCAATTCAGGCAGCCTGTTCAAATCAATGACAGGCAGTCAGATGGACAGACCTCCTGAAGTGTGCATCTGTGCGCTTCCTGGGGGTGTACCGCTGTGCAGGTCCAAAACATGGATGAGGAAACAGAGAGATTGTGTGGTTTGAACAAGTTGTCTGCACGGGTCTGCACGGAAAACCTGTGAATCCCAAAAGCGGGTGAAGATGGTCTCTTCACACAGGTGTACAGATTGGTGCATCCCTGTGAATGAGGTCTTAGAGATGACAAAATCCTGGTGCCTGTGTAGCACTTGGTTGTATTCATAAATGTTGTATTCATAAATGCCTAGAAAACCAAGCCCTTGCTGCAATATTTTCCTTTATGAATTGTTAAAATCTTGTAGTCTGATCATTAAAGTGACACTAAATGATATCCCTATTCTGCAAAAATAACTGCCTGCTTGTAACATCTTCCCTGAGCTTTCAAACTTCTCTATTTCCCCTCACTTTCATTTGTTTAGAACAAGCAGTGCATGTTGGTTGTGGTTATGTGCACTCTCTACGCACACTACACATCTTATAATCCAAAGTCCCTGGTCCATCTCATGTATGAGCAAGAAAAGGGTGGCTACATTCAGAAATACAGTGGGATCATGGAGAACAACTTCCACTAACAGGAAGGCAGATCACAAAAGCAAAAAAAGGAATTTAGAGATTTGGAGTCTGAGAGCAATAAAAGGTACTTTTCTGCTTTAAGAATACAACATTACTGCTGACCATACGCCTTTAGAAAATTGTTAAGAAAAAAGTTCAGATTTCGAAAGATCTGACGATTGTGCATGCATTACGCCATCATTGTATGGATAGATGTCGCCCAATAATCAAAATATTATCAATTGATAACAACATAAACGGTACATTTTTTGGCAATCGATTATACAATCAATGGAAATGATTAGAGATGAGCGAATCGAACATGACGAAGTGGAATCGTTCCGAAGATTTGGAAAAATTCTATTCGTGACGAATCCGAAAATTAGCAAACTTCGGATGCACGAATCGAATTTTCCCAAAAATGGCGGCGACATGTGTGGCGACAGGAGAAAATGGACAGAGAAGATGGGGCGGGGATCTCTGGGAAGGCGCGCAGACAAGGCGCGCTGACCCATAATGCATTCATGAGTCATGAATCATGACATGTGATCGCATTAGCCAATCAGCAGCCAGCCAGCCAGCACTGTGTAATGGTGGAGCTATAAATCGCGGCCATCTTAGAATTCTCCATTAGCCTCCGGTCATTCAAGAGAGACAGACCTCTGTGTATTGAGGGACAGAGTTAGGGCCACAGAGACTTTAGGGCCACAGAATCGTTACTCAGGGACACAGAATTGTTACTCAGGGACACAGAATTGTTACTCAGGGACACAGAATCGTTACTCAGGGACACAGAATCGTTACTCAGGGACACAGAATCGTTACTTAGGGCCACAGCTATCAAAGAATCGAAAATTTAAAGTGACATACACCATTTTTTTTTTTTGGTGGCTGTCGTGCACAGTTGGTGCTGCAGTTTGCCGATTGTGCTAAATAAACTGACTTTCTGCTTCACAACCACTATTGTACGTTCAAAGAGTTAAATCCATATACACGCCGGGTGGCGGTAAATATTTTTTGGGTGATTAGTGCATTCCAGTGACATAAACGTACAGTTTCCAGCCAACGGCAAGCTGCAATTGACCGATTGCGCTAAATAAAACTGACTTTCTGCTTCACAACCACTATTGTACGTTCAAAGAGTTAAATCCATTTACACGCGGGTGGCGGTAATATTTTTTGGGTGATTAGTGCATTCCCAGTGACATAAAACGTACAGTTTCCAGCCAACGGCAAGCTGCAATTGACCGATTGTGCTAAATAAACTGACTTTCTGCTTCACAACCACTATTGTACGTTCAAAGAGTTAGATCCATTTACACGCCGGGTGGCGGTAATATTTTTTGGGTGATTAGTGCATTCCAGTGACATAAACGTACAGTTTCCAGCCAACGGCAAGCTGCAATTGACCGATTGTGCTAAATAAACTGACTTTCTGCTTCACAACCACACTATTGTACGTTCAAAGAGTTAAATCCATTTACACGCCGGGTGGCGGTAATATTTTTTGGGGGTGATTAGTGCATTCCAGTGACATAAACGTACAGTTTCCAGCCAACGGCAAGCTGCAATTGACCGATTGTGCTAAATAAACTGACTTTCTGCTTCACAACCACTATTGTACGTTCAAAGAGTTAGATCCATTTACACGCCGGGTGGCGGTAATATTTTTTGGGTGATTAGTGCATTCCAGTGACATAAACGTACAGTTTCCAGCCAACGGCAAGCTGCAATTGACCGATTGTGCTAAATAAACTGACTTTCTGCTTCACAACCACTATGTACGTTCAAAGAGTTAAATCCATTACACGCCGGGTGGCGGTAATATTTTTTGGGTGATTAGTGCATTCCAGTGACATAAACGTACAGTTTCCAGCCAACGGCAAGCTGCAATTGACCGATTGTGCTAAATAAACTGACTTTCTGCTTCACAACCACTATTGTACGTTCAAAGAGTTAAATCCATATACACGCCGGGTGGCGGTAATATTTTTTGGGTGATTAGTGCATTCCAGTGACATAAACGTACAGTTTCCAGCCAACGGCAAGCTGCAATTGACCGATTTGTGCTAAATAAACTGACTTTCTGCTTCACAACCACTATTGTACGTTCAAAGAGTTAAATCCATTTACACGCCGGGTGGCGGTAATATTTTTTGGGTGATTAGTGCATTCCAGTGACAGAAACGTACAGTTTCCAGCCAACGGCAAGCTGCAATTGACCGATTGTGCTAAATAAACTGACTTTCTGCTTCACACCACTATTGTACGTTCAAAGAGTTAGATCCATTTACACGCCGGGTGGCGGGTAATATTTTTTGGGTGATTAGTGCATTCCAGTGACATAAAACGTACAGTTTCCAGCCAACGGCAAGCTGCAATTGACCGATTGTGCTAAATAAACTGACTTTCTGCTTCACAACCACTATTGTACGTTCAAAGAGTTAAGATCCATTTACACGCCGGGTGGCGGTAATATTTTTTGGGTGATTAGTGCATTCCAGTGACATAAACGTACAGTTTCCAGCCAACGGCAAGCTGCAATTGACCGATTGTGCTAAATAATAAACTGACTTTCTGCTTCACAACCACTATTGTACGTTCAAAGAGTTAAATCCATTTACACGCCGGGTGGCGGTAATATATTTTTTGGGTGATTAGTGCATTCCAGTGACACATAAACGTACAGTTTCCAGCCAACGGCAAGCTGCAATTGACCGATTGTGCTAAATAAACTGACTTTCTGCTTCACAACCACTATTGTACGTTCAAAGAGTTAAATCCATATACACGCCGGGTGGCGGTAATATTTTTTGGGTGATTAGTGCATTCCAGTGACATAAAACGTACAGTTTCCAGCCAACGGCAAGCTGCAATTGACCGATTGTGCTAAATAAACTGACTTTCTGCTTCACAACCACTATTGTACGTTCAAAGAGTTAAATCCATTTACACGCCGGGTGGCGGTAATATTTTTTGGGTGATTAGTGCATTCCAGTGACATAAACGTACAGTTTCCAGCCAACGGCAAGCTGCAATTGACCGATTGTGCTAAATAAACTGACTTTCTGCTTCACAACCACTATTGTACGTTCAAAGAGTTAAATCCATTTACACGCCGGGTGGCGGTAATATTTTTTGGGTGATTAGTGCATTCCAGTGACATAAACGTACAGTTTCCAGCCAACGGCAAGCTGCAATTGACCGATTGTGCTAAATAAACTGACTTTCTGCTTCACAAACCACTATTGTACGTTCAA